CAATCGAAGATAACACTACTACATAAAATCACTTTACCTTTCCCTTACGTAGGTGGTATGAGACTGTGCACCTGTAACTTGCTCAGTGTGATAGCATGTCAGTACCTTTTGCACCCGCCCACGGCACACCCACCCATAAGGTTGCCACATTATATGTCTCACTTTAACTTTCTTAGGAGAAAGTACAACCTTAGTTAGACACCCCCACATTTTTAAGAATTTATAGGAAGATTTTCAACCTTTCCATAATTCATATGATGTCACATTAGTTTAAGGTATTTTATTGAGAACATAATTTGTTGAAAGCAAAACTTTTCTCTAAAATTCTGAGTTAAACCAGAATTTATCAATATAACATTTATCATGTCTTCATGAATGATATCATGTTCTGAATAAATATTAGCACAAGTGTTTTAATCTTTTTGCTAATTTGATTCTCAACTTCATTTTTGTAATATTTAAAACATTTCTAAGGTTTTATATTTGCTTCGTAGCAAATATATATAACAGTAGCTTGTGCAATCGTTGATAAAACAAACGAAGTACCCTTTTCGACCACTTGTTGATATAAATTTAAGATAATATAATATACTATACTATATCATAATACAAAATTAAAATAATTCAACTAATATTGAATTATATAGATAATTCAATATTCTACTTATATAACATGCTTCAATTTCATATAATATTGAACATATCAATATTTAGCATATTATCATATAATATATATAACATTATTTTATTATATCTCATTTATTAGTATGATCTCTACTTGTTTATATCTTAAATAGAAGCATCTAATAAAACATACGCAATGAGTGAATCTGTCTTAAGATTGTTGCCAAAATATATGCTTCATGTGACATTTAAGATATAACAAACCTTATACTAATATGTCATGAGTTAATTAAAATATGCTAAGAAATCATTAATCAAATATGCAACCTTATATGTAATTAAATACGCAAAATAAAGTAATAAAATAATAATAATAAATAAAAAACCTGGACCGAGGCTAGTATTGGATACTATGTCCTTAAGACAGATTCGCCCCGCTATGGTGTTAACGGACTCAGTGGCGTCTATCTCCCAGGATACAACGGTCTACATCCACCAGTAGCAGCACTACAAACTCGTGGATACGGTGAACCTCCTCCGTATAATACTCTCTCTGACTCAAAAATACATCTATCTATACTATATAAATACTGAATTGGGTGCAATTCAAACCAAATGGTTCGAACTAATCTTAATATGGCTCGATGAAATTGGATTAAGGTCTAAGTGGCTTGGACCACTTAACCTATGGTTTGAACCCACTTGGGTTAGGTTCAAGTCTAGAGAGGGAGATAGAAGAAAATGAAAATGAATTATTTGCAAATGATCCAAATGGGGGTATTTATAGGCAACAAGGTACCTTTTCGGGTGGGTGCAACCCTTTGAAAAAAAACTAAAAGTAGTTTTTAAGCAAGGTGCCTTTTCGGATTGGGTGTGTCTCTTCATCATTGGACACAACCATTTATATGTGTCTCTTCATCATTGGACACAACCATTTATACGTATCTCTTCACACTAGACACACCCACTCCAATTGGTTGCAATGGTTTAGTTGGTGTCTGTTCACCAATAGACACATCCATTCCAATAGGTTGCAATGGTTCACATGGTATCTGTTCACCAATAGACACATCCATTCCAATATGTTGCAACCCTTTAGAAACAGATGCAACTCTTTGGAAAATAGATGCAACCAATAGATACAACCCTTTGATTAAAAAACTAACTTTTAATTTAAATTCAAAAACTAACCACCCATTTAAATAAGCCCAGCCCAAAATGAAAAGCCCAATTCAAGATTCCATTTAATAAAAAGAATAATTGGACTTTACAATTAGGCCCAAGCCCAAGCCCAAATTTGGTTTATTTAAATTTCAATTAGTTTCAACATTTTTTTCCATGTGGGACAAACACTTTCCATATTTTGCATACCCATTTAGGCTTATCAAAACACCATACTTTGGAGCTAATTTCTCATTCACCCGAAAACGGATTTGAGAAAGTAAATATATCACGTTCATCTCCTTGCGGAGAGAAACGCGTTCGTCTAGAGATCCGCAAAAAATTATTAGCGGAATTTATTCCAAACCTCATCAAAAGTTTATGTTTTTAATGCCCTCGTTTCCAACAGATAGATATATTGCTAATTTGTACTCCTAGTAATTACAAGAGATAAGGGATTGAAGATGCCGTGAGCATCAGATCATTGTTATTGTATAAACAGGTTCATTTTTATGATTAAGAAGATGCCATCAAATGTTCCAAGTTCAGTTGATGAATGAGTTGGCTAACATTGAGTATATATCAATGTGTTTCTCTCTATTAAGAAGATGCCATTAAGTGTTCAAGTTCAGTTGATGAATGAGTTGGCTAACATCGAGTATATATCAATGTGTGTCTCTCTATAAACTGTCCTTTAATTTTGTTCATCACATCCTCCTGCAAGAAACCTTATTTCTAGTTCACCTCAATCAGCTAGTAAAAAGAAATATCTGATACTTGATTCAGGAATGTGAATCACTTTTCCATTTACACAGAGGTCTTGTTTCAACAGTCATTTGGGCTACTTCTGCAGATGGCTGCTTGTGGACATGAAACTCGTATCCCACTGTCTCCCACCTTTTTGGACATCTTAAAATAATATCTTTTTGTTTCAGATTTTGCAGAACCGGAAGTGAATTTTGCTTCTTGTTAACGAACTATCTAAATATCATTACATCTTGGGGCTTCAGAATAAGATTATTGTAACTTGGGAATCTGTTGTCATTTCGGAGGTTCTTACGGTCTGTGTCGAAACAATGCGCATTCTAATTAGTTGCGATATTCCTCCTCCTTGTATCAGACTACCTCCGCCACCACCACACTACGCAAATTTAGAGCTATAAAGCACTCTGGATTGATCAATGTTGATTGCAGTTACAACGGCTCTCTCTCTTGAACATTTGAATTGGGCTTAAGTCCTTGTTGTAATGGCTTGGGCCTAAAACTATGGGCTACACTTGTGTCTGCTTTGTTTTAGACAGTTTGTACTTTATTGTAATGGGCTTGTTGGTCTCTGGCCTCTCTCCAAAGGAACCCGGGCCTCAACATCCCAACAATGCAAATTTTACATATCAATATACATTGTTTGACCTTCCAAAATAATAATAATTATATTTGAACCTTACACTAACCAAAATATATGGCAAAAAGATTGGAGTATTTTGGTATCTAATTGAAAATTATACTATAATCAATAATCCTTAACAAAGTCCTTTTGTAGGACCCTATCCCCAATTTTCTTAGCCCAGAATGCTTTCAATCTTTTACTTATACTTAAATTTATATTTTATTTAAGAAGGGTACTTCTTGATACTATTTACGCCCATCTCTAGTAGTAGCCATGGGTATCATTTGTTAATAGTTGTATTTAGTGCTATTAGTTAAGGGCCTTTACAAGGGTCATAAGGTTGCATACTGTAAACACTAAAATTTTAGTAGACTTTGGTTTTGACAAATAGACCCATCAAATATGGGTCTAATGTTTAATTAAGTTATTTAATTGACCTAAGCTTGGTCCACTTAAATTATTTAATTTGCCCAGCCCAGATGATTAAATGAAATGATAATTATTCCTAATAAAACATATTTGGAATAATTATATTTAAGAATAATTATCATAATATAACCGGCCCGGCCCAGTTATAATTTTATCCTTATTAGGATATGACACATGCCATCATCCTATGGATCCAAGAAGCTTATAAATAGAGGTCTGGAGGAAGAAGGAAGGGGTACACAAATTCAGAGTTCAGAAATCCAGAGATTCAGAATTCAGAAGTCTAGAGACTCAGAAATCAGAGACACAATTCAGAATCCAAACCCAAAAGCGAAGAACATCAAGCATATCCAACAACGTGTCGGTTTTCATCAAATCCCACTGTGATCAACAACAAGCACATCCAACGACGTGCCGTTTTTCATCAAATCCCACGGTGATCAACAACAAGCACATCCAACAACGTGCCGTTCTTCATCAAATTCCACAGTGATTCAAGAACAAGCTCGTGTAGCCCTTGGATCCAACCAACCAAAAACAAGGAGATCGAATCAGAGGACCATTCTTTTTTTGTAAAAGATATTACAAAGGACTGTACTCCACATTCATAAATTAATAAAATTCTATTTGCTCCATATTTTGTTTCTATTGCAGACTTACAAAATTTGTTGTGTACAAATTTGTGGCACGCCCGGTGGGACCACCTTTGCCTCTCATCTCTTTCTCCAACCATCAAGTTTCTTCTCTATTAGATTCTATGGCTCCCCCTAAGATTCAGACAGACAAGAAAGCCCAAAAGAACATCGCTATTGCAAAGGTTGACGCTAAAGCCACCATGAAAAGTGGCACGAAGACCAAATTAAGCGATGGAAGTCCCTTGACGGGCCCTGTGACACGTAGCAAGTCCCAGGCGATGGCGTCATTCAAACTTCAGCAAGATGTGGTGAAAACTAATCCTGCAACACCGGCGAACGTGAAAACTCAACATGTCAAAAACCTCGACATTGTTCCAGAGGAGGCTCCACCACTAGATTCACTTCGTTCTATCTATGATGCTCACTCTAGTGTCGGTTCACCCCCAGAGTCACCACGTCAGACTTCGGAGCAATCAATCACTTCAAGGAACGTGGATTCTCAAGGCCTATCATACTCAGATGTGGTTGCTGCTATGATGACTGGAGCTGCTACGGTGGAGGAACAACTAGCAACTATGGCTTATTCCATTGAGAACCTCACAAAGACTATTGAAGAAAAGGACTTGCAAATCGCTACACTAATGAATAAATTGGAAGTTCAGACCTTCGGTGAAACACCAATGCCATCCGGGAATCGTGCAACTTTCACACCACCACCGTCTGGGAAACCTACATCTTCCACAGCAATACTAACGGAGAATCCTAATTCTACAGCACAAGGTACTCATAGGGAGAATCCCAAACAGACGTCGGTGACAGAACAAGCGACCAGTCAAAATCAGACGCCGGGGATAGAACAGGCGACTGGTCAAACCAATCATACCTCTTCTTCAATTTCTTCATTATCTGTCGAACAATTGCAAGATATGATAACAAATACAATCCGAGCTCAATATGGTGGTGTCTCACAGAGCACTCTCATGTACTCAAAGCCCTATACAAGGAGTTTGTGGTGTAAGAATTAAAGTAGTTCAACTGGACTGAATCTTACGCAATTACGGTTTGAAATTTTCGATTTGGAAAAAATTTGAGAAAAGAGTAATTGGGATCAATTGTTGAGGTAAAAATACATATACTAACCCTTATAACACGTAATCATATGGTTTTTTTTTTTTTTATAATTTTGTTTGAGTAGCATGTTATGTGTATATATTTTAATTTTTGTTGAATTGTTTTAACCGAGAGATTATTTTGAGTTTTAAATTTTATTTTAATTTCAATAAAAAAAAGGTATACTCTTTATAATTTGTATAACGAATAATGTATAAAAGTGTTATTCCTAGCAAAAGAAAAGCAGGACTTGCTGACTTGACGATGATAACATCATATTGAGGATATTGAGGGGGTGTCGTTAATCGACTCCATTAGATACTCGATCACTACCGAGACAATTTTTTTTCCGGCCAAGCACACGGTTAGTTTAAGTTACCATGGCATCCTAAGACAGATCAAAGAGGTTAAAATTAGCAAGAGTCTGAAATGGCATCCTAAGAGAAAAATGAGTGATGGAGATCAAAAATCCATATTGATTGTCCGTAAATGGTTGTCTGATTTTCCATCTACTACTTTTCCCATGTGCTATGAATTATTTTCTCCACCTGTAATTTCCACTGGCTCTACCCTTTTCGTAAAGTTTGTCCAAAACAAAGACTTCTGAAATTTTTAGTCAATCATCTCTTGAATTTGATTAGTTGCAAAATCCATTTTGATCATTCAATTGCTCAATCTTTCACAAACTTACCCATCTCCTTCTTCCTTCGTTTATTGCTAATTTGTTTCGCAAACCATTCATGGAGGTTGTAGGGGTCTTTCTCGGGCCGATCTTTGAGGTGCTGCTTGACAAATTGGCCTCTGGCGCGGTGTCGGACTATGCCCGTCGAGAGAGAATTCATCATCAGTTGAAGAAGTTGGAGAAAATGTTGCCTGATATTCGTGCTGTTCTCGCTGACGCAGAGCAGAAAAAGAAAGCTGATGGAGTCAAATCGTGGATGGATGATCTCACGGACTTGACTTTGGATTTGGATGATTTGTTGGACGAGTTGGATACGAATGCTTCGCGACTGGAGCTGGAGCAGATCATGCGGCCAGAATCTGAAGCTAGCAGCAGCAGTACTAGTAAAAAGGTACGAAAGCTCATCCCAACTTGTTTCACTTGCTTCACTCCTCCCAGTGCTCCTAAGCTTCGACGCAATATGATGTCCAAAGTAGAGGAAATCACCACCAGATTTGAAGATATTGAAGACCGAAAGAATTTGCTAAATTTGATAATGAATGTAGGAGAGAATAGGCCCGTGAGAGGAGGAGAAAGGCCAGAGACGACTTCTTTGGTTGTCAACACTCACGTTTATGGCAGAGAGAATGAGAAGGAGGCTATACTTGAATTGTTGTTGGAGGAGGATGAATCCGCTAGTGTTTCTGTCATTCCCATTGTGGGCATGGGAGGTATTGGTAAGACGACTCTGGCTCAACTGGTCTACGATGATGAACGTCTAAAGGGTTTTTTTGTTCCCAAGGCGTGGGTCTGTGTTTCTGATGATTTTGATGTTTTTAGAGTGACAAAGGCCATTCTTGATGCGGTCACTTCAGAAACTGATAAGTCGGAGACTCTAAATAAGCTTCAAGAGAAACTTAAAGAGCAATTGTCAGGGAAAAAGTTTCTTCTTGTTTTGGATGATGTTTGGACAGAGAAGTATGAAGACTGGGAGCTCTTACAACGTCCTTTTATGTTTGGGGCACCTGGGAGCAAAATTATTGTCACAACTCGTCATGAAAACGTTGCATTAACCATGAGTCTGTCTCCGGGTTACCCTCTAAAAGAGTTGTCCAAAGACGAATGTCTATCTTTACTTGCTTATCATGCACTCAGCAGCCAAAACTTTGATGCACATCCACATCTCAAAGGAATTGGTGAGCAAATAGTGAGGAAATGTAAAGGCTTGCCTTTGGCAGTTAAATCACTTGCGGGCCTCTTGCGCACTAAGCCACCACGCCAAAGTGAGTGGGTAGATGTGTTGGATAGCGAGATATGGGAACAAAAAAGTAATATTTTTCCGGCTCTTATGTTAAGCTATCGTCATCTCCCATCTCATTTGAAGCAATGCTTTGCTTACTGTGCGATACTTCCAAAAGACTATGAGGTTGACAAAGATGAGCTAGTTTTGTTGTGGATGGGGGTAGGTCTTTTGCCGAAATCAACTGTAAAGAAGGACATGGAAGATGTTGGCCGTAAATATTTTGATGATTTATTATCAAGGTCATTTCTTCAACAATCAAGTGACAGTAAATCACTGTTTGTGATGCACGACCTTCTAAATGATCTAGCTTTACATGTCGCCGGTGATATATGCTTTAGATTGGATAAGTTGGAAGGTGATGAGCAAATTGAAATTCCTAAACGAGCTCGGCATTTGTCAATTGTTCGTCAAAGATTTGGAGTCCTTCAAAAGTTTGGGTCTCTTCATAAAGGGCAACATTTGCGAACTTTTCTACCGTTATTGGGACTTGGTGGAGTGTACTTAGCAAATGAGGTTTTGCTTGATTTATTTTCGAAGTTACAATGTGTAAGGGTGCTGTCATTGTCTAATTATGACATAACCGAGCTACCGGACTCGATTGGTGAGTTGAAACATTTGAGGTATCTTAATTTATCTGGGACTTCAATCAGACGGTTACCTGAATCGGTGAGTAATCTATACAATTTACAAACACTATTGTTGCACAATTGCATGGATCTTTGTATGTTGCCTTCAAACATTGGAAATTTAATTAACCTACGCCATCTTGACGTTACTCTGACTGGTCTGTACTTAGAGACCGGTAGATTTGATGGGACTGGTATGTGCTCAGGAATTGATAGATTGACGAATTTGCAAACATTGTCCCATTTTGTTGTGGGCAAACATAATGGGCCAAGACTAAAGGAGTTGAAGAATCTGGGACTTTTACGGGGAAGTATTTCTATTACAGAGTTGCAAAATGTATCAGATGTTCAAGATGCAAATGAAGCAAAATTAAGGACTAAGCAGAACATTGAAGAATTAGAGTTGGCATGGTGTGAAAGAAATTTCAATGATTTTCAAAATGAAAACCTTGAAATGAATGTACTTGGCATGCTACAACCTCATAAAGACTTGAAAAGGCTCAAAATTGAGTTCTATGGGGGTACAAATTTTCCAAGTTGGATAGGCGATCCATCATTCTCCAAAATGGTGAATTTGTCTCTTGTGAACTGTCCAAAATGCAAAATTTTACCACCACTTGGGCAACTACCCAACCTCAAAGAGCTATGCATTCAAGGCATGACTGAATTACAAAAATTGGGGGTTGAGTTCTGCGGGGATCGTTTTCCCCCTTTTCCATCACTGGAGACTTTGAGATTTGGGTCCATGCCTGCATGGGACGAATGGGATTGTTCTATTAGCGTTGGAAAAGCTGGAAAACTACAATTCCCATGCCTCCGTGAGCTCGAAATATATGGTTGTCCAAAGTTGATTAGGATTTCACTTTTAAGGCTTCCCTCTCTTCGAACATTATTCTTGCAACAGTGTGATGAGGCGGTGCTAAAAAGTATTGTTGATGTGACCTCACTAACCAGTTTGAATGTTACGAGTATTACAGGGCTTCTTCATCTTGATGAAGCATTCGTGAAGTACCTGGGAGCACTTGAGAGTCTTACATTCAGTGGATGCAACCAACTGGTGGCTTTTTGGCAAAACGGTGGGAGGGTTAGACAGAAAAATAATCTTCTCCATCTAAAGAGTCCGAGTGTTGATTGGTGTCCCCGACTTGTTTCCTTTGGTGAAGAATTAGATGAAGGGCTGCCTTGCATTAATCTTCAGGAATTGTATATAAATGAATGTGTGAATTTTGAGATGTTGCCAAATGAGCTGCATGGCCTCACGTCCCTCACATCATTGAAGATATATCAGTGTCCAAAACTTGTGGAGTTTCCAAAGACAGGTGTCCCACCAATGCTCAAAAAACTTCGACTATGGGGATGCAATGCATTGAAGTCCGTGCCGGACGGCATCTGTGGTGTTGAACGGTTGGGTATTTTTAATTGTTCATCATTGAGGTCTTGGCCTACCGAGACGTTACCCACCGCCCTTAAAGTGCTTGAAATTAGTGATTGTATGAATTTGGAGTACTTCCCGGAGGTGTCAGAGACGACGATGATGCTACAGCAGCAGCAGGATATTCATACTATTAATATGTCATCACTTCAAGAGGTACAAATCTTGGGATGGCCGAAGGTTGGAATGTTACTACTTGGGATTGGGGGGTGCGTAAATAATAGTAATAATAATTTCGCTAGTCTTCGTAGACTGTGGATAAGAAGTTGCAATGTTGTGGAGTGCTTGTCCTTCTCCGAAAGAGGCTTACCCAACCTCAGTGAACTACTTATAATCAATTGCGTGAATCTCCAATCCTTCGCTGCTACCACCAACCTGATTCTTCCAAGCCTCCAATCCCTTCGAATCGAGTATTGTGAAAAACTGGAGTCCATCCCGGAAGGAGGAGTCCGCTTGTCCACCCCCAAACTCAGATTGCTGCGTATCACCCATTGTTCAAATCTGACGTCGTTGCCAATTTTTGATCAGATTCTTCAAAGCCTCGCATCACTTGTAATCAGACACTGCTCAAATCTGACGTCGTTGCCAAATTTTGATCAGATTCTTCAAAGCCTTAAAACCATAGAAATATATAATTGTCCATTTCTTGATTCCTACCTTCAAGGGATTGGGAATGGGAATTTGCCCCCCAATCTTATTCAATTTGATACCGGCTATTCTCGCGGACTCAAATCTCGTTGACAGATATCCCAGACCCTTGCCTAGGGAAGGGCTGCCTTCCACGCTTCACAGTCTTCGGACCCAGGACAGAGGTGAATTTTGGTGCCTTTTTTTTTTTCGCATGCATCCAATTTCTTGCTCATCACAACATCCATAACACGTGCATCCAATTTCCCGCTCATTCTGCTGCTTCATTTAAAAGAAACATTTGATTTATTATTATATGGGATCATGGGCTGTGGTTAAATCCGAACAGGATTCTTCTCTTTTGCTTTTGCATAGATGCAACTGAGTATGCATCAATATGTTTCTCCATATGTCTTTCTTTAAATCTATATAATCTTTTTGCTATTAGCTTGTTAACTTTTGGACAACTTGGATGTTTTCCATCCGGTTTTATGTTATGTTCTTTATATATATTTGATATATGTTAGTTGTGATCATTTAGCTAGTGAATAGACTTTTTTTTTTCAAGATTGTTGGTTTCTTAAATAATAGATTTTATTTCTCTAAAAAGACATAAATTTGATAGATGTTTGATCACTTTTTTGTTTTATTTTTGTACACATTTACATCATATATATATATATATATATATATATTTCAATAAGTCAATTTACAACATACTTTTTTTTTTGATAAGTTCATTTACATCATACTTGACTAGACATGAAACAAAATATATATTCTATGCATATATATGACAAAAATGACTAGATGTATTTTTATGAACTTAATGGGTGATGTAATAGTGAAGATTAATTGTTGTGATGTATGAGTCATAAAAGAATTTAATTTTGTTCATCACATCCTCCTGCAAGAAACCAACCTTATTTCTCATTTGCTTCAATCACTTAGCAAAAAGGAATGTGAATCACTTTTCCATATAGATAGATCTTCTTTCAACAGTCATTTGGGCTATTTCTGCAGCTCAATGCTTCTGGGAACTCATATATTCCACTGCCTCTCGTATCTTTTTTGACATTTCAAAAGAGTACATTTACGTTTAAGATTTTGCAGAACAGAAAGTGAAATTTGCTCTTTGTTAATGAACTATCTCACTCTCATTACATCTTGGGGCTTCAGAATAAGATTACCATAACTTGGAGTCTGTTTTCATTGGCTATGTTACAGTTCACTATTCATATGAACATGATTCTCTCCTTCGCATGTGCCTTATTTTCTGATAAAAGAAATTGCTATAATACAGGAGTTGACAAAATATGCGTGCAGCAGGCTACCATTTCTTGATATTGAAGACGTGAAATTTTTTGGCAATCTAGGATGGGTTAGCTGCTTGTCTTAAGGTATATTCTTCAGCATCACTGCAAACTAAAATTTTCTGTTCTTGTTATTCTTGCCGTCCCTGGTTATTGTTTTCGTCTTGTTCTCTTTTCATAACTACTAAAATTATATTGCCTATATGTATGTTCAATCGAAATTGAGAGGTGAAATTTATTTCTTGTGTTGCTCCCAAAAAATTGTTCTAAATACTGCTCTTGGCTACTAACAAAGTGCAGCTTTTGTTGTTGGACTGATTTACAAATGGTTAAAATATGCTGATTTTCAACGATTTTGATGTGAAAGGGACTTTGAGAAATATAATTTCATCTATTTTACAAGACAATTTTTTTATATATATCTTTTTATTTATCGCTGTGTTTTATCAGATAATAATTCAATTGAATAGCTTTTGTATCATTTGTTTGCTGTACATTAAAAATTTGCAGTAATCTAATGATCTTTAGACCAATCAAGAATAGTTCAGTAATCAAGCTAGCTTTATGTCATCAAGAAATGTGTCTAAGGATACTTCTAATATGTAATTGGCTGGGATTGATTGAAGAGCTTCCACTAAAATTCAAGAAATTTACTGGTGGAGTGACTGACAATCACAATGGATCTGAAAAAGAAAATGATAGTTTCCTATGAGTTAATGTTTATTGGTTTGTAGTTATTGTGTTGAGGGTGAGATAAAAGTCAATATTGCTTTCTGTTATAGCAGTATTTTATTTATAGTTTATTGTTACGAGTTAGCGTTGATTGGTTTGTAGTTATGGTGTTCACTAAAGAACTGTTTGCTTCTCGTAGATGGGCGATGAGGCTTGCACTTGCAACCAAAATCCCAGAGTCCCATCGTCCAAGGTGAATAACATTATGATAATTTTGCGAGGTGTTGTATAACATTCTGATGTTGTATGTATATGCCATGGAGTTGGTGGAGTTCTATGATTTATAGGTGCCGGGGAAGAAGATTGTGTATGCTTTATGGATGTTTTAAAGAGGAATTTCGCAGTTGTCTCTGTTGCTTGTGCATTTGGGGAATTGTATACTCTGTGATGTTGATGTAGTTGTGAATTTTTCTTTTCCATTTCTGGAGGAGGATTATGTAACCAGTGAATCAACTTCATTATACTACTAAAATTAGTGGTTTACAACCAAGCCAGTAGCCTAGTGGTACCGGGCTCCAACAGGTTAGTGGTTGTGAGTACTTACTACTATATCAATGTGGAACACTTACTACTATATCAATCTGTTCCACAAAATAGTCCATTAGCATATACTGCGTCAGATTAGTCTTGGAAATTACCTGTTTTGATAGTGCTTGTAGATTAAGTTGGAGTTTTCTGTGCATGACTGGTCATTGCTGTGGTAAATTTGGGACTGTTCTATTTTTTTTTCTTTTTTCTTTCTAGGACTAGGATTAAGAGTTCATTACTGTTATAGATCCATATGTCTCCATTATATCTTCTTAATAATCATTATTTATTTATTTATTTGCCGTGTCTTTAGGTATTTGAATACAAGTTATTTGGTGCATTTACTAATAATAATAATATTTCGTAACTTTGTGTTTCAGCTATATGTCTAAGTGATACATTCTGTGTTTTCCATATTCTTCATTGTTTCATATTAAATCGGTATCGATATATTAGTAATATATTACATCTATTTAGGAACATTTATCTAGACCTAACAGTTTGGAGATATTGTTGGAGTAAGTCTCACCTTGTCATCTACCTATTTACCTATGAGTCATTTTTCAAATCTTAAATAGATTAAATAAAAAAACTCAGTGTTAGCTTCCCTTTTTGTTTTTTCTGGTTTATTTTTCTGTTGTTTTATTATATATGAATATGAAGTGTTTTGATTTGGTTTTCTCCTCACATGGGTTGTTATTTATTTAATGGTTTCATGTGGTTGTGTCCCATGCTGGTGCTCTAAAACGGCACTATTTTGGTGCATTGGTCCAAATCCCTGCACAAGAAATGATTTGGGTCCATTGAACATTAATATTTAAGCAAGGCCAAATTCAATTAAATGTGAAGAATGTCTAGTTATTATATATCCCGACATGATTATTGAATTTTCAATCAAATTACTATATGTTTATTGGTTAGTAGTTATAAGAAGTGTAACAACTAAGAAGTATGAACACTTCTCTTAGAGGATCGTGACGATGTCGAACAAGCATGGGACATGGTCCAGACGCATGTCAGACATGACTAGAAGTAAATTACATTGAACCACTTCTCCTGGTGGTCGAAATTGGCCCTAATTACTGTGTCCTTACCTCAAATTTCGTACATCTTGTGTTTCAAATCCTTTAAACTTCATGAACTCAAAAAAAAGTTTCAGCACCATGCTGTTTCCGTCTGAAACAAAGTCAACCAGCCACAAAGAAAGAGAAGTCATCATCCTCAGTCATTGCTCTAGAATTATCTTCTTCGCTGTCCCTCTCTTCCAACTCTTCAATCTTATCAAAGTAAGCCAACCTCTTGATGATCTTTAAGGCGTGTTAGCCAGTAGAGCCCCGGCTCGTCAAGACTATGTTTACTTGATTAATTTAGAGAAAATTAACAAATCTAAGTAATCCAAATCATATATATATAGGGGTAAGTGCAGAAAACACTCTTGAAGTATACTTTTTGTAGCACTTTTATCCCCTATTTAAAAAAATGTGCAATAAACACCTCTAATCTTTTAATATTGTGCAAAATTAATTCAAAAATCTGACATAAATTAGGAATGTAATACCCATTTTACCCTTTTATTTTTCCCAAAATGCCCTTGCAATCATCCTCTTCATTGCAATAATCCTTTGCCTTGCTCGCCGTCTCCGCTTCACGTTGGAAATTTCAGTGTTCACCGCTAATCCGTCCCCCTCAAACTTGACCATGAGAACCACGAACCAAGGAAAGGCGAAAGCCTAGAGCAATAGTGTTACTCTCTCTACCATCAAGTCTCAACTCTCGCCATCACCACTCTCTTCTCACTCGTCCAACCCTGCTCCCTCTCTACAAAATCCATTAGATTTAAGCTTAATCAAAGCACTCACCCCTACTTTCTCTCTTCGAAATTACATGTTCATTGGTTTAAGGTTAATCAAATCGAAGAACGAAATCACAATCAGTGGGTGGTTAAGGGTATTCATAGCACTCACACTTTCCCTTCCTTCGAGGATCACCGAGATGCCGCCACACCACACGCTCGCCGCAATTTGTCATCCTCAGAAACCAGCACGGTCTTTAGCCGAAATCCGATTACAGATCCGATGTCATCGTCGGTGTTTTCAAGACCGGAGTTTGGCCAAAGCGAAAAAGCTTCTCCGATTTGAATCTCGGCTGGAGCGACAGTGTGTATGGTTGGTAATACAGCTAAATATCTAATAATAGATCAAACAGAAAACATAAATAGAATTCTAATGGTGGCTATAACATGTTTTAACAAAGAAATCCCTCAGTTTATATTCTTTAAAAAATAATCATGAATGTAGGAGCGAAGGCCAAAAAGGTGACACAAAGTCAATATCAAAAACTGTAACTATAAGGAACATAAGGACCCATATTCATCTAAATTCATGGGTTTTTAGACTCTTTACACTTTGTTGACACATCATATAGATCAAACAAAGTCAATATAGAAAACTTGCCAAGATCCAAAAACAAGGCTATTGTTATTTTTTTCTCACTCCCTTCGGCGGCGCCAGAACTCGCTACCGTCGTTCGCCATCATGCTTGCTACCGTCAATCTCTTCCCCGCCCTCTGCACCTTCGATTATGGCTCTGCCCTCTGCAACCGTCGATCTCTGCACCTTCGATTATGGCTCTGCCCTCTGCAACCGTCGATCTCTACACCTTCGATTAAGCCATAACCAATACTAAAGCTTTCGTCCTTGGCTTTTTCTTTTTCGATGTTGTTAGATTTGTCATACCTACTTGCAGTGTTTGGTGTTGATTGGTGGTGTAATTGTAATGGGGTTGTAAATTATTTTGTTGAATAATGTTTGATGTCCTTTTTGGTCTTTTTACAAAAAAATTATTTTTATATATTTTATAAAATCATTCAATAAGGGTAATTTGGTCAATTTAAATTTTAAATGTGTCAGGGGACCTAATTGCACCAAATTGAAACTTGAAGGGTGTATTTTGCACGTGAGGGGGTGTGATATGCACTATAAACATACTTAAGGGGTATTTTTTACACTTGACCCTATATATATATATATATATATATATATATATATTGAAATCGAACATGTTGGCTATAAGTATCTCCTCTCCATTCAAAGCAAAAGTTGAAGGGTTCAATTTGTGGGAGTTATATAATTGTTAGGTTAAAAAATATATATGACGCCATTGAAGACACCATCGAAGACCTTACATAGAGGGATTAGGGGATCGAGGGGGTGGTCGAAGACAATCCCAAGGTATTTCTCACTGAATTGGAGGCTTTAGAGCTCGATGAGCTGCAAATCTTGCTGAGAACCCCATTCTCAGAAGATGCAATCCCTTTGCAAATTCGTGCATTTCTTTTCTTGCATGTTAGGTTTACACATGTAAATAGGAATTTTATTGATTTTATTTTTATTTTTATTTTTTTCTAGTGAATGAGCAAAATTCATTCTTTGCCAGTGAGTTGAAGTCCATGGGGCGATCTGTTCAGACCAATCTGAGTGTGGGACATATGATTTGCAGATCTCTTGAATGAGTGACCAGATGGGTTTAAAGAATTTACAGGAGAAGAAAGAGGTGGTTGTGAGTTTCATTCTAGGATAGGCATAGAGCGCAACAATTGGGGTAGTGGAGATGAGCCGTGTGTTTTTTTGTCGACGGTGGGTAATCTTACTTGGATGGTTACCCAAGTGATGAATTGGTGTTTGCGTATTGAAATTGGGTTCCAAGGGATGTGATGCCTTGGCTTGGGGATAAGGGTGGGCGAGAGGGCCAGCACTCTGTGTTTTATTGAGTATTGGCTAGTGGGAGATGGAGACCACAATACTCTGTTAGGTCTGGGGAAGAAAGGCGGATGGTTTGATAGTTCTGGGATGATGGATAGCAAATTGGGTGGGAAATACAATGAAACCCCACATCAATAAAATCACTCACTCACTAACTGATGCTTCCTTTAGGACTGAAGAGTCTTGTTCCACAGCATCACTCATCCTTGGTATTAATGGGCCTGCTGGGAGCCAGTTGTCCATCCAAAAGAGCAGGTTGTCCCATTTCTGATCTGGTGCTTCATGAAGTTCCTAGCAACATGTCTCAATTGCAACTGAGGAGGCCCCGGATGACATGGGCCAGATCCGACTCGCAAACATAGCATTCAGTCCGTACAGCTGGGCCAGCCCATAGAAGGACACTGCCATATGGGCCGAACAAGAGTAAGCCCACCAAAGATGACCAAGGCTTACGAAGGAATAGGCCCAGATCCAGCAGTTAGTAAATATCTTGTAAATATCTTGTAAATATCTATAAATAGGAGATGGAATGAAATGGAGGGGGATCTTTTTGGGTTGAGGTGTAAGAATTCTAGAGAGAGAAAGAGGAGAAGGAATTTCTTGCATCTTCAATTGGCGCCGTCTGTGGGAAACGCATGGAAGTTTGGTTGATCAATGAGGAATATCGAATGGATTCAAACCAATTCGGTTGATCGAGACTCGATCTTTGGGATTTGAATCCAGAGCTGAGCGATTGTGACCTGCTCTGGAGGAATTACAATTCTTGAAGCTTTGGAGTGACTTCAGATCTACGAGTTGTTCGATTGTGGCAGGATCTGACGGATTTAGAGTTCAGACAATTCAGATCTCGTAAACAGTGAGCATAATTCGGAGAATTAGAAGCCAGATCTAAAAATTCCTACTCACGAAGATCAGATCTACTCGCGAACTTGAGATTAATGCCTTTACTCCGTTCGGGAATAATGATAGGTGAAAGCTCCAATCCGATGGAGGCTGTCCAGCAAACAAAGCTTGAAGAGTTGATGAACTTGATTGAAGCTCTCAAAAAAGAAAATGCAGAATTGAAAGCTGGACTGCAGCATCAGCGAATACCTGCGGTTTCGCATCCACTTCCGGTCGGAGAAGGAGGTGTTCAATCTAATATCGCGCATCAAGGCGATCAGGACGAGAACAATCAGTCAGCTCACCACCGTGATGAAAGGATGATGGACAATTTGCCGCCAAATGTTCGTCGAGTTGAAGATCACGAAGGATCGACTCACGTTGATCCGCAGCGGGAAAGGTTTGACCGAGAGGAAGTGATGGAGGTTGATCGCCGTCGAGTAGCGTCGCCTTGGCAAAGAGAGTTCATAGAGGAACGGTCGTTCGATCCGTCTTACCGGCCCTCCATGGTTACTGTCACTCATCACGGTTCGGAGGGCAGAACCGTAACTCACAGAGCTACCGCTGGACTCCAGAGAGAGAATGAAGCTCTCCGATCCGCAGCTCGGACGGTGGATTCACCATTCACCGACGAGATCTTGAATGCGCCGCATCCAAGGAAGTTTGCTATGCCAGTCTTTATTCTGTTTGACGGAACGACCGATCCGATCGATCATGTGTATCATATCCAGTTGAAAATGGCCCTGAATACGGAAAACGACTCTTTAATGTGCAAATGTTTCCCTACAAGCCTGGCCGGACCGGCGCTCAGCTGGTTCAAAAACTTGCCTAGGAGCTCCATTGGTAGTTTCAGAGACCTGTGCGATCGGTTCATAAGCCAGTACTATGGGAACAAACGCCCGCCGAAGGACATCTCGAGCCTATTCACGATGCGGCAGCACAAGGATGAACGTCTCCAGGCCTTTCTTACCAGGTTTAATCTCACTAAGAGTATGGTGATCGAATGCCACCCTTCAACGGCAGTTCAAGCCTTCAAGTTAGCCATGACACGCGGAACTCCATTTCACACCAGTCTGGTAGTGAACACGCCGACTACTATGGATGAACTCAATGAGAGAGCCGATGGCTTTGTGCGCCTAGAAGAAGAGGAGGCAGCTAATGCTCGGACAACGTCGCTTGTGTCGACCGAGGAAAAGTCCAAGGCAAAGATCAGGCAGAAGCAGGCTCAGCCGCAACGTCAGACCACCTGGAAGGCCGAAAAAAGGTCCAGGGAGGAAGAGTTGATTACTCCGCTGAAGGTCACTCTGGCGAGGCTGTATCAAGAGAACAAAGACAAGTTTCATCCACCACTGCCAATTAGGCAACCCCTCGAACAGAGGGATCAAACTAAACATTGTGCTTTTCATTCTGATTTCGGTCATCAGACTAACGAATGCAGGAACCTGAGGAGGCAAGTGGAGATGTTGATAGCTAGAGGGGAGTTTGCGAGTTATGTTCAAGGTTCGGCGATGGAGCAGAATCGACCGGTGGAACAAATAAAAAGGAGTCATAAACAAAGCTCCCACAATTTGCAACCAGTTCGTATAATCAATGCTATCCATGGTCGACCCGAGCCTAGTGAAGAGTCAGATGAGCTGCTCCGGGTGCGCCTGCGACAGGCGCAGATGAAGAAAAGGGTCGGCAATGTGACTACTCTACGCCAGCAGAGCCCGTCAATGCAGATAAAGTTCGACTGGACAGACCTGCAGCGTGTTCAACTGCCTCATGACGACCCGTTGGTAGTCAGTTTGACAGTGGCAGATTGCTTGGTGCGCAGAGTTCTGATCGATCCTGGGAGCAGTGCGAATGTCATGCCGAGGGACACATTTGACAGGCTCGACATTGAACCAGAGAGGCTCAAGCCCACTGGAAATCCCTTATTAGGGTTCGATGGGAAGAGGGTGGAACCCGTCGGGATGGTGGAAGTGGAAGTTCAAGCTGCAGAACGAGCTCTTATGGAAACTTTTGTGGTTGTGGAAATTCGCCCCTCGTATAATCTCCTGATGGGAAGAGGATGGATTCACAGAGTCCGAGGTGTACCCTCAACTCTGCATCAGGTCATGAGGTGCCTCGGGCCCGATGGAGATAAAGTAATAGACATTCGGGGGGATCAGGTCGCAGCCAAAGAGTGTTATTCCGTCACACTAAAGCATGCTGGGAAAGGAAAGGCGCCCGTCCGTTCGACAAGCCCCAGATAGCAATTACAGAAACCTCCGCTCGAGCAGAATAGGGTGGAGGAGTCAGTCGACTTGACCGAGGAGCCCCTTCTGGATGTGCAGATCGATCAGTCCAGGCCAGAACGAACTACCAGAGTAGGTATAAGACTGACCAGAGAAGAGCAGCAAGAGCTAGTGGATTTCTTGTCCCACAATGTCGACGTATTTGCATGGAGTCACCTAGACATGCCTGGAATTAGTCCTTCCGTATCCTGTCATTCCCTGAATGTCAATCCCAATTTCAAACCAGTGAAACAGAAGCAGCGAAGATTTGCTCCAGAACGTAATCAGATCATAGCGGAAGAAGTCGATAGGCTGCTTGATGCGGGATTTGCAGAGAAGTGCACTACCCTGAGTGGTTGTCCAACGTCGTTGTGGTGCAGAAGAAAAATGGGAAATGGCGAGTGTGCATTGATTTCACCAATTTGAACAAGGCCTGTCCGAAGGACAGCTTCCCGTTGCCTAAGATTGATCAAATGGTGGATGCCACCACTGGGTATGAGCGTTTAACCTTTCTGGACGCATATTCAGGTTATAATCAGATTCCTATGGACCCCGCAGATGAAGAAAAAACTTCTTTTGTCACCGAGCGAGGAACATACTGCTACAAAGTTATGCCTTTCGGGCTAAAGAATGCGGGAGCAACTTATCAACGACTTGTTAGCAAAGTTTTTAAGAATCAAATGGGTAAGATTGTCGAAGCCTATATTGATGATATGGTGGTAAAGAGTAGGAAAAAGGATGATCATCTGAAGCATCTGCAAGAGGTATTTGATGTACTAAAGCGATATGGGATGAGGCTCAATCCGACTAAGTGCTCGTTCGGTGTGAGTTCCGGACAGTTCCTGGGACACCTGGTCAACCGCAGGGGCATCG